CCCGAAATCTACTACACCTCGCGCCCACCGGCCCTGGTGGCCCGGAACCCCCTGCAGGGTTACTACCAGGTGCGGCGACCTAGCCACGAGGGCTACCTGGCAGCCCCGGGCCTCGAGGGGCCAGGGCCCGACGGGGATGGGCAGATGCAGCTGGTCACCAGTCTCTGAGGGGACCTCACGGACCAGGGGCTGGGTGGCCCAGGCCGGGGAGGATACCCTGGGCACAGGGCTCTGGTGGGAGAGGGGACGGATGGAGGCAGTGGCTGGTGGGCCACTCTCTCCGGGCGCCCCTTGGCCCTGCGCCCCACGGTCCCCTCGGGGCTCTGCGTTGGCGGGGGCCAGGGTTCACAGACAGGGTGTGTCTCTGAGGGGACCTCACGGACCAGGGGCTGGGTGGCCCAGGCCGGGGAGGATACCCTGGGCACAGGGCTCTGGTGGGAGAGGGGACGGATGGAGGCAGTGGCTGGTGGGCCACTCTCTCCGGGCGCCCCTTGGCCCTGCGCCCCACGGTCCCCTCGGGGCTCTGCGTTGGCGGGGGCCAGGGTTCACAGACAGGGTTTCCCACCAGCCACACGCACCAGCTCTGTTTGGGGGAGGAAGTGCAGTGAGGAGGAGCCCAGAGGTCCCCAGGGGGAGCCAAGAGGGAGAGATCGGAAGGGTGCAGCCTGCTCCTCGACTCCCCCTGCCCCCTTCATCCCCACTCTTCCTGCCTCTCTGGAGGGGCCCATGGTTCTAGTTAACCTGGGCGGGGAGGAGCAGCTTCAGAGGTTGGCAGACGCCCCCAGCCCTGGGCCTCCCTCCCCGCCCCCTCCCCAGATCTAATCTCCCCACCACCAACCGCCCCCCTCCATCCGCAGCTAGAAATGCTGCACCGGGAGGCAGCGGTGGGGCAGAAGGACAGACGGACAGGTCCTTCCTGCCCGCCAGTGCCGTCGCTGCAGACGGGCCTCTGACCCGGGGAGAAAGCCCCAGGGCCATTTGGCCAGCTGCTGGTTCAAAGGTGGAACTTTCTCTGAAACTCCTGCCCCTGGCTCTAAGCCCCTGCCTCCCACGCAAGCTGCCCCCCCTCCCGCGAAAGTGCACCCAGTGACCCCCTCCCTTGGGGCCACACCTGTTGAAGCACAACTCCCCGTAGGGCCCCCAGCCCACAGGGGTGGCCATATTTGGGAAGCACCCAGTCCTGTGGGCTCGGCCCTCTGGGGGAGCAGATTTTGGGTGTGGATCTCCCCCCGGGGAGTGGGTCTTGGGCTTGGATCTGTCCCTAGGGGGACCCTCTTTCTCCGTTCCTCTCTCCTCCTCCTCCTCCTCCCCCACTGCTGTAAATATTTCAACGAAATGGAAAAAGAGAAAAAAAAAAAGACAAAAAAAATTAATAATAAGACAAGAAAAAATCTCATCACTTGAAGCCACTGGGACCCCCCCGCGGCCCAGGCCTGCTTGGGCTTTCTCCGGAGCAGAGCGGAGCGGCAGCCCGGCCGGCAGCCAGGACTTCTCCGTGTTCGTGCGTGCGCATCCCCGGCCCGGGGTGGGCGGGCCGCCAGAGCAGCTTTTTACAATCCAGAGACAGAAAACAAGCAAACAAAAAAAAATCTAGAAGCAACAGCGAAACAAAGAACCCGTCTCCTCCCTGGCACTTCCTTGCCCGCTCCGCCTGCCCCCACCCTGGCATCCGTCGGCCCTCCTGGGGCGTGTACCTCACCGCCTGCCCCAGGATCAGAGGCCCCGTCTCCTCCCACCCCTCCCCAGGCCCGGGGGAGACGCCCTCACACCCAAAGATGCTTTTGCCAAGACAGCTGCTCCACTCTCTTGAGTTCCTGCTTCTTGTATATTGCTCCTGGGACTCTGGGCTGGGGGACCAAGGGGGTGACTTCCCATCTGGATAGTTGGATGGGGGAAGGAAGAAGGGACCCGGGCAGTGGAGGGCAGCAGGGTCTCTGGGTGGTGGGCACGGCTGAGGACAGAGGGGTGGAAGGTGCAAGACCTGCTTCCCTTCCTTTCAGCTTTCTGCTGGGGGCAGGGCACCCATGTTCTGGGGGTTGCACCCTACACCCCCAGACTCTGGGAGCTCCAGGGGGTTTTTTGCGGGGGCTCCTGAGTACTCTCCCACCTTCTCCAGCCCATCAGCCTGGCTTTGCCAGCACCCCATTTCGGGGGAGCATAACCCCATGGCCGCAGTAGTAGCCCAGCACCCCTCATCGCCATTCCCGGGGTGGCCCCTCCACCCCTGCTCTGACCTCTCCTTGTCTCTTCGCCCCTCTTTTCTCACAAGTGCCATGAGTTTTCAGACATCTCCGGGTCTCAGCCTGCTGCTGCCCTGAACTTTGGGTTAAGGGGAAGGGGCTTTAGGAAGGAACTGGGGGGGGAGGGGAAGGAAACAGGTAGGTGGCTGGAGGGACCCTTTTTGCTGCTAGGGAGCCCCTCCCTTCTTCTGGGGAGCCAGGGCTGGCTCGTCCCCATCAGGGGAGAAGGGGGTCAGACCAAAGATGGCGGTTTGTCCCGTGGAAGGGAACAGGCATGGGGAGAAGATGGGGTTGGGTCCTCTCCCAGGCTCTCTGGTAGGAAGGGTTGGTTAACCCATCTCACCAGGAGATCTCGGGCAGGTGTGGTCAGGACGGGAGGAGGTAGGGTGGGGACAGCCCTCCCAGAGTCCTCTGGGAGGAGATCAGCAGGCCAAGAGGAACTGGCTGGACATGGGGCCTCAGCTCAGCTATGGACAGCCTGAGTTGCCTCTACCAGTGGGGAGGATGGAGAACCAAACTAGGACAGGGTGGGAGTTTCTGGGTGGGGGGGGCCTGAAGGCACGCAAGGAGCCCTGCTTCCTCTCCCCTGCCCAGCCCTCCTTTCGTCTCCAGACGGTGGACAATCAAGGAGAGGGCGTAGCAGGTCTCTTGCCTCCCATTCCAGCTGGATCCGCCAAGGTGAATTCCAAGGCCTCAGAGCTGCGTGGCAGGGCCCCCTGGTGGGGCTGGACACCACTGCAGTCCAGCGCAAAGCCACCCCTGAGAGCCCAGGTGTCCCCCCCACCCCAACCAGACCTGGTGCCTTGACGCCCCCACCCCAGCTGGGACGGTATAGAGAAGGGTCTTGGTTCTCTCTCCTACTCCCTTCCTTGGGCTCCTAAATTCATTTGCTCCTAAATCTTGGTCATTCTTTTTCTCTGGAGTTTTTCTTTCCTTTGGGTTTCCCTTGCCTTCCCTTTCTCATGTCTCCACCTCTCTCGCCCCGTGTCTTCCTCACTGTCTGTGTGTTCCTCTTTTCTTCTCTCATCCTCGATTCTCTGTCCATTCGGGCCTCCTCCTCCCCGCCCACGACCCCTTCCCTTTCCCTCCTCCCTTGGTCTCCTTTTCGATATGCCAAACCAATTTTGGGTCGAGTGCATTTAACGAGAACAAAACAAAAAGGCTCATAACAACAAGAACGTTTCAGAAAAAAACAAAAAGTTAAAAAAAAAAAAATTGTTGAGTCAAAAAGTCAAACAATAAAGAAATTAAGATTTCTTGGAATGACAAGAGTGGTGTGGCTCATTGGGGGGAGAGGGTGAGCAGGTCTCCATGGGAGGAGGAGACTCCCCACGGGGATCTTGATGCCAAGAGGATCCTGAACCTCAGCATTGAAAGGCCTGGGTTTCCTATTTATGGAGAGTTCGGTAAGTCCCTGGGCCCGGCTGCACATCTGGGGAGCAGTCTCCCTTCAAATCCTCCCCAGTGTTTTAGGTTGATATTAAAGTTCCATTTTACAGAGAGGGAAACTAAGTCTTTATGGTGTCTTGGTGCTATACTCAGGCCTCTCTGGCAGGCTTCCAAGAAGCCCTCCTTGTCCCCAGGCTGTGAAAGAACAGAGACCAGGAATCTCACACTCCATGTGAGGTTCCAATGCCTTTCCTACTGGAATGGTGAGTTTGCAAATTTGAAAACACAGGAGCCAGCAGGTGGTGTAGTGGTGAAGGTGTTGGACTACCACACGGCTGACTACGGTTCGAGTCCCAAAGCCAGTGTCTTGAACTCACCCCAGGTGCATGTGTGTTTGTGCCCAAAATCCTGAGAGGAGAATGGAGAAGGGATTGTGGTGTGGCCATCCCCAGAGATGGAGGTGATTGCTCACTTTCCCTCTCTCTATCTCTCTGTCTCTCTCGGGTAAACGTACAAGCCCTATAACAAAAATCTCTCGGGAACCAGCAGTTAGCGTAATGGCTATGTCGCTGGACTCCCATGTAGTCGACCGCGGTTCGTGTCCCGGACCCGGTGGCTTAAAACTCACGCCGGGCACGTGTGCGTGCGTGCCCAAGATCCTGAGAGGAGAATGGAGGAGAAGAGATTGCGGCGTGGCCATCCCCCCTGGGGGGTGATTTCTCACTTTCTGTCTCTCTGTCTCTCTCTGTCTGTCTGGTGAGCGCACGCACCCTATAGCGAAAAAAACTCTCAAAAAAATCTAAAATAATATTTTTTTGAAGGGGCAGCAGGTGGCATGGTGACTAAGGTGCTGGACACTCCCATGTGGCCGACCATGGTTCAAGTCCCGGACCTGGTGTCTTGCTCACTTTCCCTTTGTATGTGTGTGTGTGTCTCTCTCTCTCTCTGGTCAAATTCAAATAAATGAATGAATAAAGAAATATTTTTTAAAATATTTTTTTGAAAACAATATTATGATATGCATATTTCAGTTTCCAAATAAAACTATCAGTGCTCCGGACCAGCAGGTGGCATGGTGGTTGATGCACTGGACTCCCACATGGCCAACCACAGTTCAAGCCCTGGACGCTGCTCCTTACTTTCTCACTCTCTCTCTCTCTGTTTCTCCCTGGTGAGTGCATGTGCCCTATACTGACTTTGAAAAGAATAATAGCAAATAAAAATAATTTAGAAAAATAAAAACCTGTACCAGTGCTGAGAGAGAAATGGCGATGAGAACAGGGCTGAGGTTTCCCTGTGTGTCTCTGCTTCTGACACTGCTGTCCAAGGGCGTCTTCACTCATGGGCCCTTCTTCTCAGTCTCTGTGGCTGGGGCCTTCTCACCTCCTGACCTTCCCAGGGGGGCTCAATCCTTGTACCTTTTCTCAACCCACATCTACCATTTCTTTAACGTTTTTTAAAAAATAAATTATTATTTCATTTATTCATTCATTTATTTTAATTTAACCAGAGAGAAAGAGAAAGAGGGAAAGTGAGAAAGCAAGCTGCCAGGTCCGGGATTCGAACCACGGCCGGCCATGTGGGAATGTCTAGCACCTTTAACCTCCATGCCACCTGCTGGTCCCATATTTACAATTTTTTTTTTCCTAATAAACCATGTCTTTTATTTTCTGTATTCTTTTTTTTTTTTTTTCCTTTTCATTTTTTTTAATATTATACAATCACATTATTATTTGGCTTACAAAATAGATATTTCAACGGGTGTATATTTACAATTTTTTAAAAGAATTTTAGCGGGGACTGGCAGTTGACAAAAAGAGAGATGCTCCATGCCCTCGCGCTTCTCCTCGGTCAACTCATGGAAGAAGTGGCCCGTGCCCTCCAGAGCTGTATCTTCACAGTGGAAATAGAAGCCCAGCAAGAGGCAGGTAAGAGGCCCACAGATGCAGCTTGACTGGGCAATTCATGGCGGCCTCCACCTCGGTAGGGTAATTCTGATGAATCTGGGAGCTCAGGGTTGGTCTGTAATTAGGAGCTACCCACAGAACGGTGTCAGCTGGTCCCAGAGGCAGGCGAGGGCCTCGATGATCTCAGAGAAGAGGACTAGAGAAGAGACGAGAAGGTGGTCGGAGGCAGGGAAGAAAAGTCGCCGGATGTGTTCTGTCCAAACACTGTTGGAGCAAGAGTCAGAACTCCAGGACCTCCAGGTACACTCTACTTTTTTTTTTGGAGAGATTTTTGCTATAGGGGTGTTTGCTCGCTGGAGAGACAGAAAGCAAGAAATCATCCCCCAGGGTGATGGCCACACCACAATCCCTTTTCCTCCCGTTGTCCTCTCAGGATTTGGGGCATGCATGCACACGTGCCCAGTGTGAGTTTCAAGCTGCAGGGTCTGGGATTCAAACCACGATCGACCATATGGAAGTCCAGCAACATAACCATCTGCTGGTTCCAGGAGGGCTACTTTGAAAAAGGTGTTCGGGAGCCAGCAGCTGGCGTGGTGGTTAAGGGCACTGGACTCCCACATGGCTGGCCACAGTTCGAGTCCTGGACCTGGTGGCTCGTTTTCCCACGTCCCCTTTCTCTCTCTCTCTCTCTGTCTCTCTGTGGTCAATTTTTTTTTCTTTTTTTGGGGGGGGAGATTTTTGCTATAAGGTGCATTAACTCACCAGAAAGACACAAAGAGACAGAAAGCAAGAAATCGCTCCCCAGAGGGGATGGCCACACCACAATCCCTTCTCCTCCATTCCCCTCTTGGGATCTTGGGCACGCACGCACACGTGCCTGGTGTGAGTGTAAGCCACCAGGGCTGAAACCACAGTCGACAATATGGGAGTCCAGCAACATAGCCATTATGCCAATGGCTGGTCCCTCTCTGGTCAAATTTAAATAAACAAACAGACAAATAAATAAATAAATAAAAGTTCAATAAGATAATTAAAGAAAAAAAAAAAAAGACATTTGGGGGACCAACAGGTGGCATGGTGGTTAAGGTGCTGGACACTCCCACATGGCCAACCATGGTTTGACCCCCTGACCTGGTGGCTTCCTTTCTCACTTTCCCTCTCTCTGTCTCTCTCTCTGGTCAAAATAAAGTAAATGAATAAATAAATAAATAAAATATATAATTAAAAAATGTGATCTACAAATTATTTAAAAAAAAAAAAGACATTTGAACTGAACCACAAATGGTAAGAACAAGACAGTCCTGCTATTGTCTGGGGGAGCCCATGGGAGGGGGGAACAGCAAGGGTGGGACCTTGCAGCAGAACTCAGCGGGGGGGGTGTTGAAAAGCAGGATATAAAAGCCAGCAGAGCTTTAGTGAGGTGACAAGAGAAAGTGGTGGATGAGGCCTGAGAGGTGAGCAGAGGCCACACTGTGCAGGGCCTCCTAAGCCTAGCAAAGATCCCGGGTCTCATCCTAAGTGGGATGAGCCTTTGAAGGTTTTAAGCGGAGTAATGACATGATCCGGTTTACAAGTGAGATCAGCCCGCCGGCTGTATGGAGGACGCCTTAGAGAAGGGCCCAGTTTCTTCATTAGCACCACAGATGACGCTGGTGGCTGATGAGCTTCTCGGGGGCTCTGAGCCGGTTGAGGCCAAGGAGAAAGGGGAAAGAAAAAAAAAAGTCCACGATACGAATAGAAAATTTTAAAGTCGGAATGTATGAATGCATAATTTATAAATGCAATGTATAAATGTATCATTAAATGTCTAGATGTAACAACAGGGCAACTTCATTCATCATTACATTTAGTATTCGTGGGACCAGCAGATGGCGTAATGGCTATGTGGCTGTAAAAGGTTTTTTTCTAAAATAATTTTGTATGTGGCTCGGGTCGTTTTTTCCACTGGTCAGTGCTGGTCATCGCAAAGGCAGAGTCATTCCGACACCTGGAAGTCTTCCAGGCCAGGGGTGACGGGGTTCTATTATGTAGTCATGGATCATGGCAGTTTTCACAGCCTCTGTTCAATGGGCCGGAAAACGTTGCCTCGGGAGGTGAGTGGCAGAGCCAGGACTCGAACCTCTGTCTACCTCCGAATTCCAACTCCCATTTCCGTATCATCCACTTGAAACCTGCCAGTGGCCCTCGAGGGAAGACTGGATTCGAACCCAAGCGCTGCTCCGACTGCCCTCGGCGGGGAGTCAAACGTTCGCAACGTTCACAACAGACTCCTGTCCGCGGGGCCTCGGGGGCAGGAACCCCTGAAGCTGGCTCCGGGGAACGCTCACCTGCGGACCGACGCCGAAGTCACCTACTCTAACCCAACTCCACAGCGCCTACACCCCACTTCCGCTCCTCTTGGCGAATCCCCAGCCAAGGCGCCGTTGATTCCCGCCCCCGCGGCCACCTAAGCCAATCACGTCTCGTAAAACCAGCTTTGTCCCCGCCCCACGCTTGCCTGCCAATCATCACAGGCGCGAGCCCCGCCCTTCCCTCCTGCTTAAGTGAGCGCCGCGCGCCACCGCTCGGCCGTTGGCGGCGCTGCCCATCGGAGGATACCTTACCCGGAAGGGTGGAGCGAGAGGCGGGACATACCGGTGCGGGAACCCTCAGGATTGGTCAAGAGAAGGCCCGCGCTCTGACTCCGCCCACTCCCGCCCTCGACTTCCGCGTCGGAGACGCTAGGGATTGGTTCCCAGCGGACACCTCGGAGAGTCCAACAGATGGTTCCGCCCCCCTCTCGCGTCGTGAAGAGGGAGCTCTGTGAATTGGTCAGAGGAGTCTGGGCGCGCTCCGGCCGGCGCTCTAGGATTGGCTGAGAGGGTGCTCGCGCCTCCAGAGAGCGTTGGCGGTGATTGGCCGGAGGATGGAGCCGGCTATTTGAAGGCTGCGCGCGGACGCTGTGCGCACTTGAGCCCGCGGAGAGCAGAGTAGGGGGACGTGGCGGCGGTCGCAGCGACTGCGGGTGACGCTGCCCCGCAGATCCCACTCGCTCACCTCCACCGGCCCCAGACGTGGGCCCGGCGAGGCGATGGCCAAGGTGTCGGTGTTGAACGTAGCGGTGCTGGAGAACCCGAGCCCTTTCCACAGCCCCTTCCGGTTCGAGATCAGCTTCGAATGCAATGAAGCCTTGGCGGACGGTGAGACTGGGCCTGTGCGGAGACCCCCCTCCCCCAAGTCCCCTACCACCGGGCTGACTCCAACCTCCTCGTGGAGAACCACCCCTCGGGGTTCGATCTCCTCGTGAAACCCCTTCCTCCCACGTCCGCCAATTCCAATCTCCCTGTTTACCTCCTCCCGGTGGAGACTACCCTCCCCCCATTCGCTTACTCCCGGTTCTCGTGCAGACCTCACGCCCCCTTTCTTCCTCCTATGGGGCACCTCCTAAGCATCCCGTTTCGTAGGTAGAGAGGTGCTCACCTTACGTTTTTTAACTTGCGGGAACCCCCAGCCACCCCCGTCTTTCTCGTGGCAAGACCCCAGTTCCAGCCACCCACTCTGCTCCCCCCCCCCACCCCTCCTCCCCA